TTTTTAAATCAAATGTCATATATGAAATATATTTTATTTTTAATTAAAATAAATTTAATTATCAATACTTTTTATATCCTTGTTAATTTTTTTAATTTGAAAAATCATGGATAAAAATATCGATGAGATAAAAATCATCTCATATTAAAACCACTTGAACTATTGAGACGATGATGTTATTTCTTTTAAAATTATTAAAATAAATAAACACTTTAAACCCCTCAATTTACCCAAACTTTTCAAAAACCACCCCGGGATTTAAGAGTGGATACCTGGTTATCACATCAAATTTTTAAGATACAAATACGAGAGTGAATTATATTTTTAGTCCCTGTAGTTTTGGGTTTCTAACCAAACTCATCCATTTTTTGAAAGTTTAAGAAAACTTGTCCTTGTGGTTACATTTTTGTGAGAAAATAAGAAAAAAGAAATTCTATTTGACGAAGTATATGTGAGCCAATGTTACATATTATTCATATGAGTTCATATACACATCTTCAAATGGATTTTTTTTATGTATGAGAGAGAGTCGAGTTCATATAAGAGCAGTTTCCAAACAAGAGAATAAAAAAAGGGTTAAATAACATGTGATTTTAGATTAAAATCACGTGTAAAATCACATTTGATTAAAATGGTTTTATTATATATATATTTATTTAAATGCTGCAATTTATTTTACTTATGATATTTTTTAAAATTAAATATGTAATTAAAATTTTAATTATAAAATATTAAACTCATAGTTATAAGAATTTTTGTTATTTTTTTATAATATTTTACTTTATAGGATGCATTTTAGAAAATGTATTATTTAGTTAGTGACCACTATTTTTGGTCATTAATCATTTCAAATTACTGATTTTTGTCAAATATTGAATATTTACAGGTAGAACAGTTACAAGAAAAACTAGCAAGGTTAGAGGAGGAAGGGAAGTGGCAGAAGGATCACTATTTGGCCGAGCCGAAGTCAGAACGGAAGAGAAGGGTAGAACTAGAAACCTAACATCCTGAGTATGTTGCCCAGTTAGAACAACATGTCTTATTATCGGCTTAGTTTACTACTTTTATGCAGCAATAAGGATACCCTTCCCATAGTTAGATTATTACTAACCGTACATTTGAATTGTATGAATTTGTTATTTTTAAATTGTTGGACTGTTTTGATTTGTTATTTTGAAATATTGGCATGTTTTCTATAAAATATTTAGGAAATGCAGTAGTTTCTTAAAATTACTAAAAAACCGTTGAGGGATTACCAACGGAAATCTGTTGGTAAAGGTAAGTGTTTCATGCCGCTAATCTGTCGATGATTAGCCATCTCTAATTTGTCAGTGATTAGTCGTCGCTAATCCATCGATGATAGTAATCGCCGCTAATCCGCTAGTGTTAGTAACCATCAGTGAATTCCGTCGATGATAGCATTATCCACCACTGTTCGCCCCATGCACTATCACTGATGGATCACTGACAGAATTCACCATTTCCAACGGTTTAGTTCGTCTTTGATAGGCTCTCAGTTTTGTAGTACATCATTCTCGTTAGAGACACATCCCCAACTCAACACGTCCTCCACCGTTTTATTATTAAATATATTAAATATACACATAAAAGATGAGACCCTCTCGGCCATCCCATTTTTGATATTAAATAAGCCTGGTATTATATTGTTGTTTTATTCCATTTTTGACCAAAAATGAACACAAATCATATGAAAACTTGTTATTAATGACGATGAACTTATGGGTAGGGATTAATTATGATATATAATCCATGGGACCATAAGGTTCAAATAATTCAGCCCACATCCCATTCTTCCGTCGATGGTTCCAACCCATGTCTTTGCAAAGTTGATCGTTGTACCATATATCGATAGCAGCCAATACAGACCTCTGGTGATATTCACCAGCAGATTGCTTCATGTATTCATCCCAATTTGAGATATCTTTCTCCATCTCTTTGATGCTTGGCAGTTTGAATGTCCCATCCAGAAGCTCTACCACCCATCTGCACCTCATTTCTGATGTGAACAGGTTTGATATACTTTCTGAGAATCCAATTATTGCTACTTGTGGTATTCTTGGTGGAATGCATTCTCTGATATATGCATTTCAAAACCAAATGTTAGTCAAAATACTAGTAGAGAATACTGGGTATCTGCGATGACTAATGATTCTGGCCCCACCTGTAGAGAGGAACTCGAGAATCCGGTGAAGGCGCGATGAAGTCACGCAAATCTTGTGACATGAAGATGCTTTGAAGCTTCTGAATCCCTTTGAATCCGGTAGCTAATATGACGATATCCGCCAGTGTTGGTTTATTCTCTCCATCGATCAGGATGCCATCTTGGTAAAAGCTGAAACCGGGAGATCTCTTTAACAAAATGCTTCCCGTTTCAACTCGGTTGAAGAAGTCCTCAGGCATTATTGAAACTAAACCCGAACGTAGATCTTTTGAGAAGCTACACTTTGGTACCATGTCGAATTTGGCGAGAGGACTCTTCTTTTTGACGTGGGTTTCGACAAGCTTTGAAATACCCCATCTCTGTTACCAAAACGTAGTCATTAATTTGTTCGAAATTTTACAAGTACAATGTAGGCAGAAATGAAGTAATTAAGAGGTAGTCACCAGAGGTGATAGAATGGTTGCCAATAGACCAAGTAGGAAACCTTCACCGGGCTTATGAACCAGAAGCTCGGAGAAGCGATTGAAGTACAAATACGAGAGGGGAATTCCCCATGGACTGAAATCAGGTAGCTTCCATCGGTCGTTTCTATATAAAATGGTACATGGATTCTCCTTTCCTGATATCACCAGAAATGAATTAAGCTGAAGAAAACTAGATGTATATATATTTTTTATATAATGGAATGGAATCATGATCGATCATCGGATTCGACTAGCTGCAACTAACCGTTTACBGATGAACATTCCATTGCRATATCGAGTCCTTGTTTTTGAAACCCCACAACAACAACGCTCTTCCCTTTAATGAATTCTTCAGCTTCTTGGTGATCCATAGCAGCATATTCCATGGAGTGAATCATTTTGCCTCTGAACACCTCAGGGCCAGCTCCTGGAGCAAACTCTGGTATGTTTGGAAAATCTTTGAATCTTCCCACGCACAAAATCACAAAATCTGCATCATGCACCTGTTTTCACATGCCAATTGATCATCGTTCCATCTGTAACTGGGTGCTAATGTGTTATGGTAAGAATAGAAGACATACCTTTGTACTTTGACTGTTCTCAACTGTGACTTTCCATTTGCCTTGTGGAAAGGTTTCTCGTGACGGTGTCGGTGGCCCATCGTACTCGATTCCCTTCACCACGGAATTAAACTGAATGTGGTTCATCAAGTCGAAACGAGTGGCGTAAGACCGTAGATAGTTTAGGAGTTGGTGCTGTGTAGGGTAGTCTTGGGTCACTGAAGAAGGCCATGGGAAGTCGGAAAACTGGAACGAACCCTTGAACGACTGTAGCCTGGTGGTTCTTATGGTTTTAGCCCATACTCCACCAATATCGGATTGTGACTCGAAAACGATGGGATTGAAGCCTTTAGAGAGACAGTATTTACATGCTAAAAGACCGCTGATTCCAGCTCCAATGATCACCACCTGTTTCTTCTCCATGATATCGATAAGATAAGATCGAAGGTTAATTTCTTGTGATGTTAATTATTCGATGAAAACCCAGCGCCTATAATGAAATTGCGACAAAGCAAAAAAAATAAAAATCTAGTGGGTTGATATCCCCACATCTTTCCCTCACTCACGCCCTCACATTTTTAAAATTTTTAATTTTAAATTTATATTTTATAACTTGTAATTAATTAATTAATTTACTTTACATTTTTTTTTAATTTTTCATTTTACACCCTTATTAAATTAACATACATAATCGTATATTAATTAAAACATGTTTAAAAAAATATATTTTTATTTTAACAAAATACATCATTATAATCGTCTCGTTATTACCTTCGAAATAAGCCAAATATTAAATAGTTTTTAACTTAATTATATTATTATATATTATATATATTATGAAAAAATATTTTTAATATTTACGCTTTACACTTTTATAGTTATTTATTTAATTTATATAGTACATAATTTATTTTTTCAATTTTTGTTTTACATCATTATCATATTGAAAAACATAATTTTATATTAACTAAAATTAAATCTAACAACGAAATTAACCTCTCAGGAAGCATTTTCATACCCTTTATTCATCTTGTTCATCTTACATACTCATTTTTAATATACTTTTTATTTTAACAAATTACACCATTATAATCGTCTCGTCAATCTCTTCGAAATAAACCCAATAATGAATATTATTTGATTTAATTATATTATTATAATCGTATTTTCAATACCTTTGAAATGAACACAATATTAAATATTTTTGGATTTAGTTCTATTATTATCTATCATATATAGTACGGAAAAAATATTTTTAATACTCGCACTATATACTCTTGTAGTTATTTTTTTTTAATATATCCCTAACTTTTTTATTTTTCATTTTCATTTTACATTCTTATCACATTAACATACATAAATGTATATTAAATAATATATGTTAACAAAATACGTTTTTATTTTAACAAGTTACACAATTATAATCTTCTTGTAAATACCTTCAAACGAGCTCAGTATTGAATATTTTTGGTTAATCATATTATTGAATACCATAACTACATAAATTATTTTTAATACTTACATTTTATACTCTTACAGTTATTTATTTAATTTGTTCTATATACATTACTTTTTTCATTTTTCGTTGTATACCCTTATCAGATTAATATACATAATTGTATATTAACTAAAATCCGTTAAAAATATGTTTTTATTTTAATAAGTTGCTTCATCGTAATCGTCTCGTCAATAACTTCAAAATCAACCTAATATTGAACATCGTTTTATTTAATTATGGAACTGTAATTATATAAATATCACAAGGGTATAAAATAAAAATAAAAAAGTAAATAAATATAATAAATTTTTATAAARATATAAAGTATAAATATTGAAAAAAAATCATATACAAATATAAAATTTAAAAATACGTATTTTTAATACTTTATTAATTAGTAATAATATAAAGTTAATTAATTTATATAATTATTAAAAAAATATGTATTCTTGATACTTAATTAATATTAATAATATATAGTTAATTAATATATGCAATTATAGTGTAGATAAAAAAACCTAGAGGATATAATAGAAAAATATTTAAAAAATTGAAGGGTTAAAGTTAAAAATATTAAAGGGTTAAAATTGAAAAATAAAATAAATAAATTTTAATTATTTTATTGTATCATGTAGGTGGGGGTATAGAAAAGTAGGGGGGAAGGGGGTGGGGTTAGAAAACCCCAAAATCTATTGGCAGTGGGTCATATTTTGTTGGGTGTCACTGACACTAGAGAGGATAAGTGTATTGTGTTCTAAATAGCACGAGGATAAGTGTGGTTGGGAATATTACTTCAATAGGTAAGTGAGAGTGGTGACTCTTGACGGTAAGCGATTATTCGGTAAATGTTTGGACGACCCTTTAATTGGTTCAAAGTAGATTTTTCTTAATCAATTTTAATTGAACTTGAATAGGTCCATTCTGTCTTAACTAGTTCAAATTGTCACTTTCATGTTCGGCAAAGTCATTGGGAGATTTTTTTGACTTAAATTGTCAATGAGGCTTGGTCCTTTGAGATTTTTCCTTAGACCAGTTCGAGTTGTCACTTAAGTCATGAAAAAAGATTGGAATCTAAAATCAATTTTTTCATGACTTAAATATCTGTGTTACTCAAGCTTGATTCGAGTAGGAGTTCGAGCTTGGTTTGAGCTTCGAACGATTTTGAGTTTAAAAAATAGTAATCTAATTCGAGTCAAGTTTAGTTTTTAACTACTCGTGAGTTTTCTAGTCGAGTTCGAGCTTGAGAAATGACTATCAAGTTCGAGTCGAATATATATTGATACTCGAGATCAACTCGCATCATTTACACCCTAGTCTTTATGTGTATGTTTTACGCATTTGCATAAAAACTAAATTCTGGGAAAAAGAAAAAAAAATCCTTGCACATATGCGTAAGGATTCTTTAAGCAAAATTTTGAATTTTTATGCAAAAAGATCTTTTTACTTTTTTTTAATGTAAACTCTAACTAAAATGAGAATTTAATTGAAAAAATGACTAAAAACAACTACAAGAAAAATGACCTTAGGAGAAGGTTTTGTTTTGTACCAAAAATTTAATTGTTTAAGCAAAAATGGTTCCTTTGTGTCCGAATACTATCATAAGCTCAATTCTTTATGAAAACAATAATTTGATGCTCTTATTACTCTTCCCACTTGCACTTGTAATGCCTCTCATGTTTTCTTTAACCATGGTCAATGAATAAAACTTATGCAGTTCTTAATGGGTCTTGATAATGTATATCAACCTATTAGGAGTAACATTCTTTCAAGAGACCCTCTTCCTTCTGTTAAAACTGTTTTTTCTCTTATATCTAGGGAAGAGTCTCATCTTGGAGGCTCTGGAGTGTCCTCTGGAAATAAAAGGCAAAATTCTGCTTTTTTTAACAAAGTTAATGATAATAAGAAAAGATTTGGTAGACCATCAAATTTACTTTGCAAACACTGTGGTATGTCTGATCATATAGTTGAAAGATGTTTTAAACTCATTGATTTCCCAAAAGATTTTCAAAACATACTACCAAGACCCCCAAATCAAGGTTTTAAATACTTGTTTAGTAATGCTTGTGTAACAGACTCTCATAGGAATGAAAATATTTCTAATTCATCCATTCCTTCTCTGGGAACAAGTTACTAAGTTTCTTGCCTTATTAGATCAAAAGAACTCGTATGAGGCAGTTTCTGCTAACATGGCAGGTTTGTCTAACTTTCATAAGACTGGTTGGATTATAGATTCTGGAGCTAATCAACATATGACATCTAGTTTTTTAAACTTGGACAATGTTGTTGACATATCTGATTTAAATTTAAAAGTAAATCACCCAAATGGAACTGAGGCAAAAATAAATAAAATTGGGAATTTAAAATTGTCAAACAATGTTACTTTATTTGATGTCTTGGTGGTTCCATAATTTAATGTCAATCTTTTGTCTATTCACAAACTTGCTAGAGACAATAAACTATTCGTTCGGTTTGATGAGTCTTGATGCTATGTTCAGGATTCTGATCAAAAGAATGTAGTGGGGACTAGTAGTTAAGAAGGTGGTCTATATTTTTTTGATCAATTTAAGGGCGAGTCTTTTTCATGTTTCTGCTTCTGTTGTTATTACAAGTTGTTTGTCTACCCAACTGTGGCATAGTCGTCTTAGTCATTCTTCTGACCAAGTTTTATTTGTTTTAAAGGACCAACTTAAACTTGAAAGTAACAATGTAAGTCATTGTGAAATCTGTCATATGGCGAAACAAACTACAGAAAAATTTCCTTTAAGTGATCATAAATCCAAATGTCTTGGTGAACTTGTTCACTTAGATGTTTTGGGCCCCTATCAGGTAACCAGTAAGTGTTCATTCCTGAACTTCATTTTTCTACAAGTGAGTATATGTGTGTGCTCTTTTAGGGAGAAAAATCGCAGCTTAAGGGTAAGGGGTGCAAGAAGTGAAGAATTTTGGTGTGAAGAGTTTCATCTTTTGATCTTCAAAGGTAAGATCATATTTTTCTTTGACTCTTTCGTTTTAATGTTACCTTAGTTGTTATAGTTATGAGCTTAGCCCTCGGTTTTATGTGTTGGTTAAATGAGTTTAATTGTTGGTATTTGGTTTAAATTGATTTTTGAGGTTTGATTTTTGGTTCACCTATTGAATAGTTAAGATTTGTTTATTGTAATTCGATTATCTTGACAAATATTGATTTCTTCCATGATTAAGTTAAGATCAATTATTTTGGTTTTTATATGAAGATTTTCAATGTTACCTTGTGAGTTAACTGTTTTGTTGATTCTGAATGATGTATTGGGAGTTTTGTATTCAAATTTAGGTAAGTTTGGCGAGGTTTCTGGGTAAAAACCACGTTGATGTTTGTGCAAGTTTTTCAGCCGAGAACAAGGCAAGAAGACTCTATGAGTCCTGCGACTTTGGTCGTAGGCTAGGTCACAGAACCCCCTTGTGTTGGGATTTTTTGATTTTTCCTTAAGATCATGTTCATCAAAATTAATTTATTTTGGTGTTTTGGTAAATTAGAAGTGATGTTCAAGGTTGGATGGAAACTTGGTTTGATCAAAGACGTACAAGTTGAACCTGTGTTGTCCAGTAACTTGCGTGACAATAGCCGCGACTATGGTCGCCTGGCAAGTCTCATAAGTCATTGTGGTGTGGTTTTCCCGTTTTTGTCTTCTGTCATAAATGGTCTTTTGGGGTATTGATTACGTGCCTTAAGGGTTGATTAGAGATAGTGGTGAGACTATCTTTCTATATTGTGATTTGTGCTTCCGTTATTCATATTCAAGCACTCGGTTGTGATTTCTCGTTTCGGTTAAAGTTTATATCTTCATTCATCGTGATCAAGATGAGTTTTCTTATAACCTTTTGAGTTAAAATGCATATGTTATCAAATGATACTATTTCAATGTTATACCTTATTGGTATGTTTGGATTATTACCATTAACTGTATACGGTTTTTAAATACATGTTTTGGAAATTAACGCAT